AGATTAAATAATAGAGTTGGTGTTTTTTGCCTTCTGCTTTTTGAGCTTTTAGGGTGCACTGGAGTCACATTTTAAAGCTTTCTTCACAACCGCGAGGGCTAGACACTTACTTTTTCTTTAAGAATGAAGGCTGAAACCACATATCCACTTGACTCCAGGAGCTGGGGCTTTAAAGAAAACAATTATCATGAGACTCATGACAAAATCATGAGAGTTGACAACACTGCAAAGGGAAAGCTTTGAAATAGACTCAGCGGAAATATGCTGTGGTGCATGGAACAAGAGGCATTTTCATTGCCATGCGGAGGAGTGGAGATGCACATTTCTCATCTAGTTTTCAGCGCCCCAGAGTGAATCATGCCTCCTTAGCTTTAGCTGTTTTCCTTCCAATAGGAGTTTGGCTATTCCTGGCATTCCTGGGGTAGCTGAGCATATTGCATGGAAATAAGGCCCCTTTATGTTCTTTAAAAGAAAAGGAAGCTGTAACTGGACACATCTGGCATTGTGTTTCCACATGTTTCTAACCATTTGATAGAGGAGCTGCAATCTGCCTCTGACGGCACATTTCACCAACTGCATTATCATATGTAAAAAGCAAAAGATCCTGCCGGGACTTGTTAATTACACAGCCTTGGTATACAGCAAATCGGTGCCCTTAACATTTATTTAATCGCTGAGAACAGGGGGGGAAAAAAAAAAAAAAAAAGAGGGGCAGGGAAAGGGTTTTGGAATCCTAATGTGAATGTTAGTATTGCTACCATATTCCAGCCTTCAATTAGCTTTGCACTTACTACAAACTGTTGCGTTAAAAGGGAATTCAAATAGAATCTAAGGGCTAGTCTACACTGGCAACTTTAAAGCATTGCCGCTCTCCCAGCACTCTAAAAAAACCACCTCCACAAGGGGCGTAGCTCCCAGCGCTGGTGCACTGTCTACACTGGCGCTTGACAGCACTGAAACTTGCTGCGCTTGGGGGGGGAGGGTGTTTTTTCACACCCCTGAGCGAGAAAGTTGCAGCGCTGTAAAGTGCCAGTGTAGACAAGCCCTAAGATGGTGCAGTCCCATTAGGTGAGGTTTGCAGGGGTGAAAGTAGAAATAGGGACTTACCGGTACAGGGCTGGGTTGGGGCCGGCTCTGGCCCCTGGAAGGGGCGGGGCCTCGGGCGGAAGGGGCGGGGATTGGGGGGGTCA